GGGGGGGGGGGGGGGGGGGGGGGGGGGGGAGTTCAATACACTACCATGAAGCCATGAAGCACCCCGGCTTCAGCTACACATAAGCACCGACCGAAAAACTTGTTCAATTTCCATCGACTGCTTGGGTGGACGAGGCCCATTGAAACGACAACACCAGGGCGACCCTTGACTCCGCCCAGCGGGGGGAACGGAAAACCAAATTGGATTTTCGCTACTGTTGTACTGCTTCTGCAGAAGTCCCGTTGTAAACAACGCAACTAAAGAGCGACCGTTGACTCCCCCCAAAACAAAAAGCACGCGACTTCTTCTCACTCTCGCCTTCTGACAGTCAAAGAATGCACGCGGTGGCTTCTTCTCACCTTCGCCTTCTGACAAACCAAGAGAGCACGCCGCGGCTTCTTCCTCTTACCTTCGCCTTCTGACCCCCCTTGACAGGAGTGCTCCCGTCCACGTAGAGCGACACCAACGAGCACCGGTCCCCTGGGGTCTTGGAGTAGAAGTCGGCGCACAGCCACCAGAAGATCTTGCCCTGGGCATCGACCGCCGCCGCCGTCGCAGCGGCCGCGTCGGAAGACCCCCCGCCTTGGGGCGCTACGATAACGTAGAGGAGGAGCCACCCGGGACCGTCTTCACCTCCTCCCCTGGCCTCCACCTTGTCAATCCATGCCCGAATCAGGGGCCGAACCGTCTGACATTGCGTTTTTTTTTGGCGGGAAACGGGGTGGTGGGGTTCGGACGTGAGCAAAATCGGAAGGAATCGGAGGAACTACATCGGGAGAATTAAATATGGCGGTGTGAGCGGAACACAGCCATGCCTTACTCCTCCGGTTGGTTACGCCGATGGTGGGAGAAATTGGTTGTCAGTTCTTTCTGTCGTTCTCCGTGCGGCGGCGGGAACGCAGGCGAGATTATTGAGGATGACCAGTTTGATTCGTTCTGCGCGTACCACGGTTTGTCCAGGCAGGCGCGAAATGCAGCGACGCTGCGTTCGGAGAGGGAACCCATGGAGCCTGCCGAATAGGACTCGCACGTCCTCTTCCCTGGAGAAACCCATCTGCGTCCACCCCTCAACCATATTCCGCAAGTCCGGCTTTTGGAGCGGTAAACGGTCAACTTCACTTTCTCTCTCAACTAAGATGCGCGGTCAACGTGCACCCGAACTCCACAAGGACCCCCCCCCCTACATGATGGCTGAGCCCCGATGTCCACTATCCCGGCTTCATAGGGATCCCAGAGTCTAATATGATCTGGAGGCAGCATCGGAATCTGTACCCCGGTCGCCGCCACCTTGTAGCCGCCGCACCTGCTTGTAGTGCTCCTGGCTCTCGGCGCTGACCATGTAGATGAAAGCGAACGATCCGCGGTACCGCTCCGCTGGGGTATCCACGAGCCGCGCCGCCACTTCCGTGCCCGCGAGCGTGCGGTGGACGAGACATCGCACCGGGAGCTCGTCGATGTTCGTAGGGCCACTTACCGCAGGAGGCTACCGACATGGAGCAGGGAGGCGAAGCGCGGGTGGCGAGGGAGGGGTGGGGTACCTCATTGCTTGCTTGCTGTTGTTATTGACGGTTGACCATGCATTCGTTTATGAGACGGAGGAAGGGGGGGTTCAACGAGAATTCCGATGAAGGAGGCGCTGTACGCTTGCTCATTACAAAAGCTTGGAAAAAAAATGTCCGAAATGTGGACGAGGGGCGGTTCATTGAAGTAGGTCGCCAGCGTGTGGAAATACCAAGTGCGTGCACAAAGCACCACGACTGATGTTAGCAACCTCCAGCTGCGTGCTCGTGCCACCTTCAACCACAGCACCGAAAACCCCAACCCAAAAAAGAAACCTATCGGCAACGCCCCTTAAGCCCCACCTGAGAACCACGGCAGCGCATCACAACTGACGCAAAAAGCCACCTCCAGTCTATTGTAGTTCCCACCTTAGCTAACAGCTTCCTCAGCGGCATGTACACCATCAGCGGTCGCTCCACGTACTCCCACAGCCGCTCGGGATCGTACACGCTCAGCGTCGGCATCGGGACGTCCTGGGCGTCGTGGAACAGTCCGTCGCTTCCGGCGCTCCCCGCCCCGCCCTCGCCGCCATCCATGGCACCCAGGGTAAACTCCCGCGGCCCGTGACCCGTCGGGGGTTCAATCTCACCGGTGCTGCCGCCGCTGCCGCTGAAGCGAGAAGAAGACGATGACGTGCTCGACACTCTTCCGCCGCCGACCTTCCCGGCAAGTAGCCCCGGGGAAGAGTCGGAGGACGTCCGGTGGACGCCCGCGACGGGGGCATCGGTGGCTGCGGCGGTCGCCGCCGCGTGGTCGGGGGAATGCTGCTGCGGAAGGGAGCCCGGGCTGGAGTCGAAGGCCGAGGAGCCGCCCGAGCCCGCGGAGGCGTTTTCGGCGGAAGGCCCGGAGCCGGAGCCGGAGCCGGAGCCGGAGCCGGAGCCGGAACGAGGTGGCAGGGCGGGCGCCTGGAGGGGACACGTGCATGACGGCGTGAGGCAGATCAGTGTATTTTAACATGTGGTATTTCTGTAAAAAGGGTGTTTCAATACAACAACCCTTTTTTCTGCCCATGGTGGGCGTCTTTGCGCAGTGAGGTAGCATGACACGAATATATCACCACTTGATTGATGGCGCTTACACATCCACAAGCTCGTTGTACAGCAGCTTGCCAAGAAAACGTTGGCTGCTTAATCGAGCGAAGCGAGATTTCTATTCTTGCCTGAGGAGACCGCGCAACATAGGCTCCATCAAGAAAATACAAGAAAATAAAGATTGTACAGTCTGTTCGCTTAGTCTAGGCTTTAGAGCGCATGATTTTGTTTTAGAGTACAGGGGTCAGCACATGCACTTTTTTTTTTTTTCGGAGCACACAGCGGATTGCAGCAGAGAACACACGCACTGCGGGAGACACCACACAGCAGACAACACACGCACAGCAGACAGCGTACGCATCACAGGCGACACACACGCACAGCGGGCGACAGCATCTGTGCCGATGCCGCTGGACTCTCTGTGGTGTGATGAGGCTATGTATTGCTGTCGCGATGTTTTTTTTTTACCGCCGCGTCCAACTGCCAGCAATATGAGCACAGCCCAACATTAGTTCTCGAAACCTAGGACGCCGATCGCCATCGCACCACTTCGAGCGTGTCTCCATTGTGGTGCCTCGGGGGGTGATAGTTGTGTTGGGCATGGGTGCTGTATGTGGGAAGACCTCGGTGACGGCGTGGAATCCAAATCGTTTTTTTTGGCCCGGGCAATCGGGCCGCGTCACCAGGCAAAAAAGCCGAACCGGATTTCACATCGCCACGATGCTCTCGCCACGTACAGCACCCATGCCCAACACAACTATCACCCCCCGAGGCACCACAATGGAGACACGCTCGAAGTGGTGCGATGACGATCGGCGTCCTAGGTTTCGAGAACTAATGTTGGGCTGTGCTCATATTGCTGGCAGTTGGACGCGGCGGTAAAAAAAAAACATCGCGACAGCAATACATAGCCTCATCACACCACAGAGNTTTCACATCGCCACGATGCTCTCGCCACGTACAGCACCCATGCCCAACACAACTATCACCCCCCGAGGCACCACAATGGAGACACGCTCGAAGTGGTGCGATGACGATCGGCTTCCTAGGTTTCGATAACTAATGTGTAATGTGGGGCTGTGCTCATATGCTGGCAGTTGGACGCGGCGGTAAAAAAAAACATCGCGACAGCAATACATAGCCTCATTACACCACAGAGTCCAGCGGCATCGGCACAGATGCTGTCGCCCGCTGTGCGTGTGTGTCGCCTGTGATGCGTACGCTGTCTGCTGTGCGTGTGCTGTCTGCTTTGTGGTGTCTGTGTATTGGAGGATTGGTTTGGCATGTTTCGATGAGTCATGGTTCACGCCTTTGTGCTTCCAAAGGTTATTTGAACTGGTCATTGAGTTGAACATGATTTTTATCTGAGGAAACTGTTCTGGGTAATTGGGGCACGTTTTACCGGAGTCACCCATCCCCATTCTGATGCAACTCCGATGTAGTGTTGATCTGTACTTGGTATCTTTCCAAGGATAATTGTTTGCGTTTGATTGCTTGAGAATTTGGTAGAGCATTTTCTCAAGAGGGTGATTTGTTGATTGACAGACCTTTGAGGGGATAGTAATTTGACACTATCAGAAGATTTGAAAGATTTCGTAGAACATGTTTTTTTAGGAGATCGACAGATTTCGTAGAACATTATTTTATTGGAAGATTGTTTGAATTGGGATCAATGGTGGATGATTTCCGTTTGGATGCGTAGTATTTTGCCGTTCTACCTGGCAATGATAGTTGTGACGGGGATTTCGTAGATCGTATCTCCGACCGAGCAGAGGGCTGCTTGGGGTGCTCGGCAGATTATACTGTCTACGGGGCCTCCGGGGGGGGACGCGGATGAAACGTGTTGATGGGCATGCTGCATGGCGATGGTGTTGCCTACCGCATGTCTCTCACTCTCTAAGCAACAAGTTCTTGAGTCAACCTTCTTTCTCTTTCGGCCCCTGACGAGCTACAGCACCCAAACAATCGATCAGCAATAGGGGGAGTCGACTGCTGCAGGCACGGCATCTACACCACCCCAAGAGCATCAACAGCCTCTGAGCGGCCTTGTCTCCGTGCCGCCGACTCGAAGAACATCTATTCTCTCCCCGGCCTGCCCCCCCCGTCCCTGGGGTAGGCCAAGGTTCCGCAAGTGGATCCAGACCTCGCAAGACCACCCAGCAACGACGAATATACGGTCCCTAACACCATTTAGAGGGGGGTCCTGAGTTTGGCGGTTGGGAGTTACTGCTGTCGTGAGATCGGGGTAGCTCCTTAGTCTAGCCACCAGCTTTGGTAGCTGCAAAATGAGACTGGATCCTGACGCCCCGGCTTGGACACCGGGCCTATGCAGCAGCAGAGAGCACGGTGAGGGTGGCAGAGTGACCGCACGCCGTGGGGGGATGCCCCAGAGAGAGGAAAGGACAGAGTCCAGAGATGGAGGGCCACACCGCTCCGGGACAGGTAGACAACTCTATGGGAAACAAGGCAAGAACCGGGGTAACTATCACGTCAGCCCGAGTGTTCGCAAGAAAAAAGCAAAAAAAAAAAGAGGGGAAGATGGAGGAAAAGGAGGGGTCGGGCGGCGGGTAGGCTAGCTAAGAGAGCAGCGCGCGCCGCGCGAAAGAGCGCAGGGTCAACTTCTTAGGGTAGCAACCTGGAATGTGCGGACTTAGGCTGTTAACGGGGCCAATGGATACGGGCGAGCCTACAGCGTTCTACACGAGGCAGCNAAGCAAAAAAAAAAAGAGGGGAAGATGGAGGAAAAGGAGGGGTCGGGCGGCGGGTAGGCTAGCTAAGAGAGCAGCGCGCGCCGCGCGAAAGAGCGCAGGGTCAACTTCTTAGGGTAGCAACCTGGAATGTGCGGACTTAGGCTGTTAACGGGGCCAATGGATACGGGCGAGCCTACAGCGTTCTACACGAGGCAGCGAGACAAGACGTATCTGTGGTAGGAATGCAGGAGACACGGAGGNAAGTGGTCTCTCCACCGTTTGCCTTTTTCTGTCCATTGTATCTTGTTACTTTCGGCCTGGTCCCTTTTTGTCCTCGCTCTTTTTCATTTCATTTTATCTCTCCTTGCTGTTTCCTATTGTTTCCTTCTCTTTTTCTCTGTTTTCTTTTTTTCTCTCTTTTTCTGTGTCAGATGGCCTTGTCTCTGCTTGCGTTGTGACGTACCAAGATTGAACCAAGGGGGTGTACCTCACTCTCTCCGGCCCGTGATGGTGACTCCTATTAGTCTCAGTTGTTACCTAGCATAGCGCGCAGAGGGAGTAGAGGACTCCAGAATATCTGTCGTTGAAAACTATTGACTTGCGGACCTCTCAGAGCCAGTTTATTTGAGTGTACCTCCTTAGAGTAAGTTAGCCTGCGACCACGGGAATCGACCGCGTCGAGTGTTGGATCAGTCATACTGGGTAGAGAGGTATAGGGACGGTTTTTCATGTGAAGACAACAACAACAACAACAACAACAACAACAACAACAACAAACGTTGCAGCACCAGCTTTGCGCTCAATTTCCGACATATGGACACAAATAGCTCGTCCAGGATCGCACGACGGGTAGTGCTACCTCGACCTTACCCACCTGTACCCGAGAGAAGCACTGCCGTGTGTCTACAACATCTTGATGTGAGACAAGACGACATGATCAACCTCTCCGCGCTGTTCATGCCGCGTTCCGGCAACCGCAGCTTCGTTTTCTCCGAAAACATACACACACGGCGGTAGTATCAGCAGAAGCAGCAGCAGCAGCAGCAGCAGCAGCAGCAGCACAACCCACGCGCAAAAAGGCCTCATCGAAGACCGAACGAACACACGCGAAGTACACGAAGGAAGGGACAAGCAGCGGGGTGTCCTGCTACTGCTGCTACCGCGAGGGTCTCCACGATCTGCTTACCGCACGAGGTTGCTTGCTTCCGCCCTGGCTATCCGACGACCCAGTCGACTCAATCGTCGGCAACGCAGAATACATCTTCCTCCCAGTCCTTGACACCCAGGATCAGCTTCCTGTCTCTCCTGCCTACTGCTGACAAACACGCAGCCACCACCCGGGCACAGCGGGGATGCGGTGCGCTGGCGTATGTCCCTGGGGAGCAGCAGAAGGCCTTGAAGAAGGGGGCCCGCAAATGAATCCCACAAAGAAGACCCCCCCCGCCTGTTCGGCGCTGTCGGACCCACAGCACCTCACCGTCTCTATTGTTGCAGTTCTGGCCTATGGAAGATGACAATAATATATGGAGCGAAGCTTTGCTCTATATATTGTCATCTTCCATAGGTTCTGGCCTTGTTCGCATTCGGCACACCCCCCCGCCCACTAACACCGGCAGCGACGACAAAACAGAGCCCCCGAAACGCAGACCATTTGCAGGATGGGCTCGATCTTCAGCTGCGTGACCGACGAGGACAGGCTCGACAAGCACGAGCAGGAGAGGCTTGACCTCCTCAAGAAAGGTGAGCTGTGAGGGACAGCGGTAGTGAGGTTTCGAAGCAGCTGTAGCAGCGGTGGGGAAGAACGCGTACATGCACGTCATATACTGCTGTACGTCCATATATTCATATGGCTGCCCTCGGCCCGGTTGCTTGGGCACCCTTCTGGTGCCAAGATGAGCCCACCAGGCCACGGCAGTAAACTACCCCAACGCAGATCATGGTCCTTGAACAGCAGCGGGTGCGCAGGCCAGACACAGACACAGCCAGCGGCGGCGGTTTGTTGGGGGTGTCCTCGAACGGCAAACCACGTTCAGCAGGGGTACGCCGAAAGCACGACAGGAAACAGTATTTTTTGCTGAAGGCGACCCCGGAGATGATGTGTTGTTGATGTCAATTATTTGGTGCGTGGTCAGGCACCTCTCCCCCCTTACCGGCCCCCTGGAGCAGCACGTGCTGCTGTACGGTAGCCCAGGCGTGTGTGGGAGCTTGCCGAGGGCGGCATCAAAAATCGCGATTCAAACCCGGCCCACCAGCAGCAATCTCCAGAGTTGGTGGTGGTCTACAGCGCACGCTGTACGTAGCCGTCGGCCAGTCAGTCACTGCACTGCCGCTGCTGCGCTGCTGCTATGGGGTGGTGCCCAGGCGCGCATAGGGGTCCGATCAGGTTTATCGATCAAGCTTCTTCTGGCCTGGCGGATGTAGCCGCCGGCCGGCCGGGGCATTAAAATTTGGTTCATGCCTACCGCTGGAGGAGAGCCGATGTCATCTGTGGATTCATGCACTGGATGCACGAGTTGCATGGTTGTAGGCACAGACCAACCGGGGGTAGCGGGGCCCGCTGCAGCAGCGGCAGCAGCGGGACGACTGGCATCGGGAGGCTTCATTTAGAAAGACGGCAGAGGTAGTAGCCGGGCTAGAAAAACATGGTGAATGTGGAACCTCGAAGTCTACTGCTGTAGGGGCCTTGGCCTCCCGTTCGGCGCCGGTGGTCTTTTTGCGAAACGTCGGTCGTCATCAAAACTCGGAACCTCATTCTTATGGTGAATATGCATAGAGAAAAAACAAATGCGTGCGTGCAGTCTTCACGCCCCCGCCATGCACACGAACACCCTCCGTGAAGAACGATCTCGAATGGGGCAGGAGATTCTGCTATGACGTTGGTTGTGTTCATTCATTCTAGAGAAGGTTTGCGTGAAGCTGTGGCGTGGACGGCCTATCTATGGACAGTCGCGCCCTCCGTCTTCACCGAATTCGCACTCAAACTTTGTTGCAGTCTACGAGCCAACTATGTACACCGTACAAGCAGTATGTTCATCCAGCAGGTGGTCCTTCCCGATCGCTCAATCCAAGTTTTGCGTATGCGTTCCACTTCTGATGCGTACATTAATCCTGAGCCTTGGTCTGATCTCTGCTGTGATTAGCCAGTTGGCCGTATCGGCGCTCTGTAGATAACAACGCACGCTGTGTACTACTGTTGAACTGATGTTGAATACAAAAAAATCGGGACGTTGTGCATCGTAAATGAATGTACAGGAGAGCGTTTCGGGAGGCGGAAGATGGTGGCCATGGGGGTGACGTTGGGATCGGAGCCTGCGATGGTTCGCCTCAGCGACGATCAGTCGACGGTTTCGTGGGCGAGTGCGGATGCCCCCACCTTTGGGAGCGTCAAGGTATGCATAGACTATGCAATTTTGAATTCTGCGCTAAATTGTTGCTGCAGATTACTTGCATTATGCATAGATAATGACAAACACAAGACTCCCTTCTTCCCCTCGCTCCTCGACAAGCTTTTGCTTAGACATGGGTTGTAGTGAAGGGGTGGGGCTTTCTGGCGAGCAGGGCTAGACTCACCCTCAAGGGATGACCGAAACCTTCTTGCTGCTGCGCAT